TATCTATCGTATGGTATTCAGCTTTATTCGGGTATTTTCCCATGTCATTATAGTTGTGCTTTTAAAGTTGTAGCAACATTTCGGCAGAATCTCATCTGCCATCATCAGGCTTCTGTATTGTGTTCGTCTGTGAGACCAAGACTCCCAACCAATCAGGATGAAGAAAAAAACCATTCTTGCACAGCAGTAGGCTAACCCCAAATTTAAAACAGAAACGGCTGTGAAAATCTGATTCACAGACGAACACAATACAGAAGCCTGATGATAGCAGATGAGATTCTGCCAAAATGTTGCTACAACTTTAAAACCACAACTATAATGACGTGGGAAAATACCCGAACAAAGCTGAATACCATACAGTGTGTGTGTGTGTGTGTGTGTGTGTGTGTGTGTGTGTATACACACATACACACACACACACACAAACACACATTCTTTGTCTTGTTCATCTGTCTCTCTATCTCTCTATCTCTCTTCATATCTATCTATCTATCTATCTATCTATCTATCTATCTATCTATCTATCTCTCTCTCTCGATCTCTCTCTCTCTCGATCTCTCTATCATATCCGTCTATTTTGTCTGTGTGTTTGTGTATCTATTTTTCTATCTCTATCTCTACTTCTATCCCATCCATCCATCCATCCATTCATAACTCTCCACCCTCCCTCCCTCCCTCCCTCCCTTTCTCTATCTCTTTCAACTCTAACTCTTTAGCCCAAACTTCATCTGTAAGAATACTAGATTGATACTTATTTGTTAAATAAGAAAATGTTGGTATCACACAGATGCATGTAGATGTTTAAAAGATACATAGCAAGTAGTAATACGTTTGCTTGATATTTAGAATACGATGATTTTTTTTTAAAAAAGCTTTCTATAATGATGGTTAGTTTCCCCCCTGAAAGCTAAGAACCACAGTTGATGCAACTGAAGTCCAGTCAAAAATGGAGGGCTGTTTTACTAGAGCCCAAGGATCTAAAGATTCTAGCTCTAATTCACATTCCAAGTCCATTACCCAGCCTTCCGAGGTGGGTAAAATGAGGACCCAGATTGTTGGGGGACAATATGCTGTCTCTGGAAACCGCTTAGAGGGGGCTGTAAAGCACTATGAAATGGTATATAAGTGTAAGTGCTATTACTATTGCTATTATAGAGTCCTTGTCTTATGATCAAAATGTCCATTACGAACTGCCTTCCAAGCTAGTCTCTCTCTCTCTCTCTCTCTCTCTCCCCTCCCCTGCTCCCACTCCTTCTCTGCCAACCTGCTCTACTGGGATAAAAGCAATAGATAAAATATTGCTATAGGCAAATATTTTAAGTTAGACTAAGTTGAACGAAGAGTCTTATAAGTTCTGGGCACCACTGATGCATTTTTCTAGTTTTTATATGGTTGCAATAAACTCTGAAACTTGCTTTGGTTTCATGGTAAGCTGTATAAACCGAATAAAAATTTATAGATAGCTAGAGATACAGGGCAATTGGGAAAAAATTAATCTGTTTTATGATGTGTTTTAGAGACAGAAAGAGACAGAGAACGCACGTATCACTGAATAATTTTAATCTGTTTTATGATGTGTTTTAGATAGATAGATAAATAGATAGATATAGTTACATGATAAAGAGATAAAAGACAGACGATAGATGATAGATAGATAGAGATGATAGAGAGAGACAGAGAGAGATATAGATGGATGGATGGATGGATGGATGGATGGATGGATGGATGGATGGAAGGAAGGATAGATAGATGATAAGCTACCTAGCTAGTTAGATGATAGATGAGAGAAAGAGATACAATGAGAGACCAGGCAAGTGTATAACTGAATAATTTTAATCTGTTTATGATATTTGTATTTGTAATCACTCTAAGGGGCTTTTTAGCAGGAAAACATAATACAAACAAAACTTTGACAGGGTTGCTTGTTGCTCTTAGGTGTAAACATTCAATTTCTTCCTCATTTTTTCCATATTTTGGGTCTTTCTACATCTTGCTTAAGTCATAATATTCTAGGTGTAAGTCCAGTCATGTCTGACTCTAGGGGGATGGTTCTCATCTCCATTTCTTAGTTGAGGGAGCCAGCGTTGTCCAAAGACCTTTCTGTGGTCATGTGGCCAGCATAAACTATGTACTGTGGTGCATGGAATGTTGTTTCTTCCCCACCAAAGCAGTACCTATTTATCTACTCGCATTTGCATGCTTTCAAGCCGTTAGGTGGGCAGGAGCTAGAGCAAGGAATGGGAGCTCCCCACATCGTGTGGCTCTCGAATATCGAACCCTGTCAGCTTTTCAGCTGACAAGCCCAGCAACTTAACTGGTGATCATCATGTTGTCACCCCCATAATATTCTAACAGGTTCCTAATAGGAAAAGGAACTCCTGAAGAATGAGGAATTATTGCAATGAGAACATTATTTCTGCCTTAACCTGTGTAAAAGGTACCGGATAAATCAATAATAAAGTCTATTTTTCATGTTAGGTTAAAGTTAGAAGTTGATGTGATGGAGGCCAAGCTTAGCAAAAGTGTGGTTTAAAAAAAAACAACTAGCAGGGCAGCTATGTGTGAAAAATTACGGATTATTGGATAAAGTCTACAATTTAAATATGGCATGGTTGCCATGCAAGCTGGTGTTTTCTGGTGCAAAAAATAAAAATAGCAGAATCAACTAGAAACAAAGACATCTTAAATTGTTGTTGTCATCTTCACTTGTTTAAATTAGGGCTGTCCATAGACCGATAGAAATTTATTTATTTTTTTGGATAGCAAATCAAATGCCTTCCTTTGGAACAGATCAATGGGGGCTTGATTTAAACATTAGTGTTTGAAGGTAGAGCTGTGTGGCAATGACGTTTTTGTCAGTTAGCGCACAAACTATTAACCATCAACTTAATTGCTTCATTTGGGTTGAGTGTCCTCTACCAAGAATCCACTTAGACCCAGGGATCCTGCCAACAATCAGGAACCATCTAGAATGGCATGGAATGAAGGGGAGGAAAACAGCAGGACAGATGTCAATTGACTATAGTTCATCCAAGGTCCCTGGTATAAACCAGAACTTCTACAAGGTATTTTCAACCATAAAGGTAAAGAGATAAGCAGGAGCTGGAGCAAGTAACAGGAGCTCACACCATCAGGAAGTGCTTGGGTCTCAAACTGCTAACCTTTCAGTCAATGAACCCAGTGTCTTAACCACTGGGATACCATGCCCCCAGTTTTAACTCTGCTCACTGTAATCTCCAGTCCAACTACGTGGAATTTGAGAGGGTCCTGACCCCCCACAATATTTTTTGGGGGGTGGGGGTAGGCTGAGCAAGGAGGAAGATGGAGCAAGAGATTAGATCCCAGCCAGCAATTCTAAGCCAAATACAATTAGCTATAATTACATTATCTTAATCTACTGGGACTTAGCTGCAAAGAATGTAAGTGTCAAGAGGGAAACCTGGGCAGCTACCTGCTTCTTTGTTTCAATGTCATTAAAGGGGAGCAGATGTTGACTGAGAATTGATTAATTTGGAGAAACAAAACTTCTGTGGTTCCATGGGAGTTTGGAAACTTTTCAAGGCCATATAAATACTGGTAGGTGTGAAGAAGAAGGCAGATGGTTCCCATAACAAAGAGAACTTGTTTACATGGTCTACCTGGAAGCCTGAGGGTTGGGCTGGGAAATTCATTGTTAAATATTGTGAACTGGTGCCTTAGAAATTCAAAGTTAGTTTTACCTGGCCATTCCAATGCTATGTATTCAATAAAAGGTAAGCTTTTCAGAACCGAAATGATCCCGGGTTTTTATTTGGGTACTTCAACTGGTTGCTGACAGTAAGACAACATCAACATCAAGCTGGATGTTGACAGTAAGACTAATCATGGTGGTTAGATCATGGCTAGTCTCTAAACCAGGGACACCTTCCACAGCTAATGTTGAAAGGGAAATAATAGTACATAGTACATAGCATAACGAAGCTCGGTAGCAATTGGTTCTTCCAGCCCTAATTTAAAAGTGATTCAAGGAAATGATAGTTTCATAGTTAATCAACATTTCCAGAGGTAATCTTAACAACTTTATCAGCCATATTCTACTAAAACTTTAAATAAAATAATATTGGAACCTATCTATTGGGTAAGCACACCTCTCTCAGCCAAACACCGTAGCGATGAGTCCCAGCCCGGCATGACACTAGAATTTCAGGAAATTGTTAGAGAAAAAGTAAATAACTTTCCAATGATATATAAAGTGATTTTTCTACTATCAGATCACTTTAGTGTGTGTGTGGGGGAGAAAGAATTAACAGGCAAAAACACTTTTATTTGGTAAAACTGCTAGGGAGGAATATAATCTCTGCCCATGGAATCTAATATAACCAACCTTATTTCTCAACAGTATTCTGCTATTTTAAAATAAGGAATTGTGTGCCAAGGTTAATAGCAATATTATGCTACATAAGAACAATACAATTTTCTATTTTGTTGCAACGAACGAAATCAGGTTTATACTGATGAACTTCCTTTACATCAGGGGTCTTCAAACTTAACAGCTTGAAGACTTGTGGACTTCAACTCCCAGAATTCCTTCTCCAATCATGTTAGGTCAGGAATTCTGGGAGTTGAAGCCCACAAGTCTTAAATTTGCCAAGTTTGAAAGACCTTTGCTTTACATTGTTGAAGTTTAATGTGTTAATGCAGAGTTTCTCAACCAGGGCCACTTTAAGATGGGAGGACTTCAACTCCCAGAATTCCCTAGCCAGAATGCAAAAGGAATTCTGGGAGTTGAAGTCCTCTCATCTTAAAGCGGCTCAGCTTGGGAACACTGTTCTGATATATATATATTTCCCCTTATATTTCAAAAAGTCCCCGTTTCCTTTATTTCACAATATACAGGGATTTGCGGAGAAAACCTTCTCAAACCCCCTCGTTTAAATAGGACTCAATCATGAACTGAATTTTTTCCATCCTGATGTGGAATATGGGGCTGGTGGTGATGTGACGGCATGCGTTATACTCACTGAACAACTTCTACGTGGTCCAGGGCCCATTGATCGTGGCCTGAGCCACTGTGGCGGGATTGCCACCAGCGAAGTAACACCCCCTTCATCCGTGCCTCCCTAAAATGAGAAATGACACAGTGAGGGAGCAGAAAAGAACAGAAGATAGGATAACAGAGTCAGAAGGGACCTCAGAGGTCTTCTAGTCCAGCCCCTCTGTTTGAGCAGGAGACGTTATACCATTTCAGACAAAGGGTTGTCCAGTCTCTTTTTGAAAGTGATGGAACAACTGCAACTTCTGAAGGCAAGTTGCTCCACTGGTTAATTGTTCTCACCATTAGGAATTTTCTCCTTAATTCTAGGTTGCTTCTCTCCTTGGTTAGACTCCAGCCATTGTTTCTTGTCCTGCCCTCAGGTGCTTTGGAAAATAGTTTGATTCCCTTATCTTTGTAGGAGCCCTTCAAATATAAGAGCACTGCTATCATGTCATCCCTAGTCCTTCTTTTTATTAGACTAGGCCAGTGATGGCTAACCTTTTCCACATCGTGTGCCGAATGCGTGCGTGATCCCCCTGCCCCCTGCCCCTCTGTGCATGCACACATGACCTGCGCATGCGCCCTGGCCCCTGTGCATGCATCTCCCCTCACGCATGCACAGCAGATACCCAACAATCAGCTGGCTGGCAGGGGGCACGTGCACATATGCAGTGGGAGTCTTCTGGGTGATCTCTCACATGCCGGCAGAAATGGCTCTGCATGCCACTTCCAGCACACGTGCCATACGTTCGCCATCATGGGACTAGGCCCGTGATGGTGAACCTATGGCACGCGTGCCACAGGTGGCACGCAGAGCCATTCATGCCGGCACGTGAGCTGCAGGCAAACTTACCTCACTGCGCATGTACGTGTTTCACAGCTGATTTTCAGCTGGTTTGAGGCCTTTTCTGCCCCCACAAAGGCTTGAGAAAAGCTTCTGCAGGCTTTGCAGGCTGAAAACTAGCCCCGTTTTGTCACTTCCTGTTTTTCCGAAATTACTGGAAGTGACAAATTGCTCACGAATGCGTAGGGAGTATGGGGGTGGGGGTGCACATTGCCTTCTAGGTGCTGGCACACGAGTGTGAGCATGCAAGCGCACACACAATTTTTGGCACAGCAGCCCAAAAAGGTTAGCCATCATTGAACTAGGCAGACTCAAGTTCCTGTAAACATTCTCAGTATATTTTAGCTTTCAGTCCCTTAATCATCTTTGTTGCTCTTCTCTGCACTCTTTCCAGAGTCTCGCCATCTTTTTTTTTTATATTGTGGTATCCAGAACTGGATGCAGGATTCCAAGCATGATCATACTAAGGCTTGGTAAAGTGGTACTAGAACTTCAAATGATCTTGATTCTGTCCTTCTGTTTATGCAGCCTAGGATTGCGTTGGCTGTTTTGGCTGCTGCCGTACACTGCTGGCTCATATTTAAGTGATTGTCCACTAGGACGTCTCAGCTTCCTGGTCGCCTTCAGAGATGTTGGACTTTGGTTCTCATCATTTCCTCCTAGACTGGATATTGAGGCCCACCATGCATTGAGGAGATTGTGTTGAAGAACGTTAGTCTGGATGTGTTTTCAGATCTTTTAGACTGCAATTCCTCTAATCCTCACTCTGGAAGGGTGCCGAGGCCCTCCATTTTGAAAAGCTCATGCTGCAGAAGGTTGGCTTGTATCTGAAGTAGCTCTTGAAATGGTCATTTTGTGAAAATTTATGAGCAGGATGAAAATGCATCCTGGATTTCATTAAATGTCAAGGTGTTACTGCTCGAAATAAGCAGATAATATAAACTAAAAAAAAGCCAATAAGCTGAGGAGAGAACCAGCCTAAAACTTCAAGGAGAAAACCAACCTGGAACTAAGAAGAAATTTCCTGACAGATGGAACAATTAATCCATGCCTCCAGTAGTTGTGGGTGCTCTAACACTGGAAGTTTTAAAAGAAGAGATTGGACAGCCATTTTGTCAGAAATGGTATAGGGTTTCCTATCTGAGGTAGGGGGTTGGACTAGAAGACCTCCAAGTTCCCTTCCAATTCTGTTACTCTGATTCCATTTTGAATTCTTAGGCCATTTTAAAATCCATCAAGGATTCTGGTTGTTGAAAATTGTATCAGAATCCAGTAGCTCTGCTCTAGGAATGGATGTTGAAGCTGGCTCTGAGGAATGGTAAGTGACTTACTGTTGGTCAAGCCTCGCCTAATTCACAAAAACGTTGTGAAGATAAAATTGGGAGTATAAGGTGTAGTATCTGAAGAAAACACAAGCTATAAAGCAGAAGATCTCATCCTTATGCCGTCTTTCTCTCTCCTTCCTTCTAGTTTGATATGTAGCCTTTAAAAAATCGAACTGTTTTTATATTTATCACTTTACTATCACCCATAGTGGCCCACTCTGGGAGAAGGGTGGCATATACATTTAATAAAATTCATAAACACACGAAATAAACGTGAAACCAGTTCACCTTCATTGAGGCTGCATTCGCTAACAATAATAACTGGTTTGGATGACGTTTTTCTGCGTGCACTTTCAAAGAAGGTGTTTTGCAGTTTTTGTGATAATGTCAAATGGCAATCTTTCAGTCACCAAGGGCCACATGCCTCCAGCTCTCTCAAAATCAGATTTGATCTGTAACTTGATTCAGGGATTTGGTGGTTTTTAAAGAAAAAGGACAGGCAGAGCCTGGGGGTGGAGTCACGAGAGGAATTAGCCTGGAGTTGTTACATTCCCACAAATGGCCTCAATTCAACCTCTTCAATTCTGCTCTTATCTAGCAGCAATTTAATGCTGACCGTTACTTGACTAGATTCTTGTGTTATAGGCCTGATCTTGACTAGATTCTTGTATTATAGGCAGGGGTGGGATTCAAAAATCCCAGCAACCAGTTTGCTGCCCAGTTGCTGGGTGGGTGTGGCCATAGTGGGCGTGGCCTACGGGAATTTCCAGGAGGGCTGTTTTTTGCCTTCCCAAGGGTCCGGAGGCTTCCCTCAGGCCTCTGGAAGGGCAAAAATGGCCTCCCCGGGCTCTGGAGGTCCTCCAGAAGTTGGAAACAGGCCTGTTTCCAGACTTCTGGTACTTCCAGTACAGACATTTGCCCCCCCTCCCAGAGCTTTCGCGCAGACCCTGCACTTACCTGCATCAAAAATGGGCTGCGTGGAGACTCCTGGGAGGGGTGGGGCCAGCCGGTCGGTTCAAATATGGGTTCGGCGAATCAGATGCAAATTTTAACATCCGGTTTGCCCGAACTGATCCAAACCGGTAGAATCCCACCCCTGGTTATAGGTGTGATGGCGTTAATCAGCTTCATAAGAATTTAGCGTGAGATCCTGATTTTCCGCGCCCGATGCTTTTCACTCTAAAGAGAAACGTAGTATAATGGCATACTCACAGTGGCACATTGTAAGACACTCTTTGTGCTTGTATAAAATCTTTTGGCTGGTGTTGTGCAATGACTTGCCATGTAATTCCATTGTTTACGCTGTACTGGAGCAACACAGCTTTGTCCACAGTGTTGGGGTCACTGAGATTTGTGTTGCAACTATCGGTTTGTGAAAGACTTCCAATTTGCAAAACAAACATTATTTTGCTGGGGGAGGGAGGAGGGAGAGGAAAGCAGGAGGAAGGATGATAACAAAGAGAAGGAGTTAATTCCTGATCTTTGACAAGAATAAAAGAATTATCGAAACATTGACAACCGCACACACACACACACACACACACACACAGAGCCACCCAACAAACCCACCCATAAATCACATACAAAAAGACAAGGCAATTAAAACTTTACAATTCTTAGTAATTAGCGCAAATAATTCAATTATTAAAATTATAATATCAAATTATTGTAAGAATTAGTCAATCTTTATGTGCTGTTTTTAATGTTTTTAAGTTGTTAGCTGCCCTGAGTCATTGGATACGAGATGGGGCAAATAGATTTGATAATAAATAAATTAATATATATACATATAAATAAGTATTAGAGTAGATAACTTTCTTCCCAGTGTTTGTCTTATTATATCTTTTATAAACATCTAACTTGGTCTGGTGGATTTTTTTTTTTTAATAAACATCTTGTTACGGTCTAATGCAATCTGTTATGTCTTAAAAATTAGTTGCCAATAGTTTTCGGCATAGGAAAGGATGTACTTATAAAACCAGTCCCCATTCTCTACTAACTTCTCTTCTACTATGGTCTCTTGTCTACCTTCCTACTAGATTTCTATGCTTTGACTTATGGAACATCTACTTGAATACATCCAAGCGCAAGTGTTTTCCATCTGCATACAATTCAATGTTTTGCTCTTTGCACTCATACATTCGAAAAACATGTGAGCCTTACCATTCAGCTAGCACAAAAATCTAAGAGAATATTTGTAGCTCAGCATTGAACTGTGGGGTTCTTGGTGGTCTCTGAACTTGGTAGGGTTTTTTTTTTTTCAGACATTTCATTACCCAACTAGGTAACCTCAGGGGTGGGATTCTACCGGTTTGGACCGGTTCTATAGAACCGGTTGTTATGATTCTGCCCAGTTTGGAAAACTGGCAAATCGTGCCCCTGGCTGGCCCCGCCCCTCTCCACCCACCCCTTCCCTCCCCACCCAGTCAGTCCTTATTGCGCATGCGCTATATCGCAGCATGCCTGACATAACTAACTGCATCCCCCCGTCTAGTCCCTTCTTAAGGTATTTCTTTTGCTTTTTTTCCCCTTCCTGACGATCAGCTGTTTTTCTCCAATGATCAGCTGTGCTGGGATCCCCCTCTCGGTCTTATTGCTTCGCCCAGGAGGCTTTCCCGAGGCCAAGGAGGCAATCAGGGGTGTGCAGGGGGTGGGTGCTGCCCCCCTGTGCTCTGTTTTTTCCTTCCTGAGCCCCAGGGAAGACTTCTGGGAGCAAAAACACCCCCACAGGAGGCTTTCCTGAGGCTCCAAAACAGAGCATGGGGGATGCTGCACGCCCCTCCCATGCTCCGTTTTTTTTCGTTCCTGAGCCCCAGGGAAGCCTTCTAGGAGCAAAAATACCCCCCAGGAGGCTTGCCTGAGGCCCGGGAGGAAAAAAATGGGAGGGGGGGGGGCAAAAAAAGAAGCCACACCCACCCAGTCACATGGCCATGCCCACCTAGCCATGCCCACAAAACCGTTTGTTAAAAAATTTGAATCCCACCCCTGGGTAACATCAGCAGCGCTAGCAGGGAGTGGGGGTTTGCTCTTATTGACCTCTTAATGATCTCTCTAACCTTGCTTCTTAAAATTAGTCCCAATTTAACTGCCATTCATTTCCAGAACGCCTCAATATTTTATCACACTATTTAAACGAGGAAACGTTTTAGATTCATGATGCCTAAAATTACCTTGCTCGGGTTAAATCCAGAGCCTTGGTCACCGCTTGCCTTATCTGACAGCCATTGAAATAGAGAGAGTCACCATGAGCGTAGGGGGCTAGCTGTCCACATCCGTTCCCTATCACTCCACCCTGAATAATTTCCCAGTTTATTTCGGTAATTCTTGCCGACTCGAAATTATCTTTAATGTAGCTGGGAAGTTCATGGTTGAAAACGGAGCAATCGTCATCTGAAAAAAAAAGTATCTCACTTCAACAGTTATCAAGTTATTGCAACTGAAAATTTATATTCAACTTAGAACTACGCCGCCTACGGTCTGACATAAGCTTAGTACGCAAAATTGTCTGCCACAACATCCTATCTGTCAATGACTACTTCAGCTTCAACCACAATAACACACGGGCAAGCAATAGATACAAACTCAAAGTAAACTGCTCCAAACTCAACTGCAGAAAATACGACTTCAGCAACAGAGTGATCAATGCCTGGAACTCACTACCTGACTCTGTTGTTACATCCTCAAACCCCCAAAACTTTAACCTTAAACTCTCTACTGTGGACCTCACTCCATTCCTAAGAAGTCTGTGCATAAGTGCACCCATCCCTGTCCTTCCCATTTATTCATACTCATTTATTATGTATATACTTATACCTGTTTATACTTATATGTTTATATGTTATGTTCATACTTATACTTGTTTTCTCATACATTGTAACTATGAGTTAGGATCCACGACCTATCACTTTGTTGTTAATCAGAGACAAATTCCTTGGGTATCAAAGGGGCAATAAAGAATTCTATTCTATTCTGTTCTAAAACTATCCATACAAGGTCCCTTCCAACTCTGTTAATCTGAATCCAGAGCTCCACTATCAAAATATCAACCCAACCTCACACAAGAGAAGCTGTTTGAAAACACTAATTAAAGCAGCGGTGTCAAATTCAAGGCCCACAGGCTGAATCCAGCCCAACCGGTAGCAGAAATTTTGAGTAGTTCGGAGAACCGGCAAATACCGCCTCTGACTGGGCCCACCCCCATCTATTCTCCGCCTCCCATTGAGACCCAGTTGATCGTCTGGGTCTTCTTTGGTTGCCCTGCACAGGAGAACGGAGCTGGAAAGCAGGTTAGTGGGGTGGGGAGGGAATGGGGATTTTGCATATATCCTTCCCCTGGAGTGGGGTGAGAATGGAGATTTTGCAGTATCCTTCCACTGCCATGCGCACCAAGCCACACCCACCAAGCCACACCCACCAAGCTACACTACACCATGCCCACCAAGCCACGCCCACAAAACTGGTAGTAACATTTTTTGAATCCCACCACTGCTGTGGTGCCTCTGCCAGCAAAATTGGGCTCCCAATCTCCATTTTGGGCTGGGCTGGCCTCCTGAAACCCTCTGCCAGAGCTCCATTTTCACTGGCAGAGGGTTGCAGGAAGCTGTCCCATCCAAAACCAGATCGGGAGCCCATTTTCGCTGGCACAGCACTCAGGCCACCACGGGCACCCCCGACATGAGTGATGTCAAACTGACCATGCCCCCATGGCCACGCCCACCACAGCCCCCCATGATCAGCTACAACCCTGATGCAGCCCTCTATGAAATTGAGTTTGACACCCCTGATTTAAAGGAACACAAACACGCTGCAGCCACCATGAACATCTGAGAAAGGAAACATTGCATCTATACCAAATCTGACCTTGGTATTCCTCATCACAAATACAAATGGCCCCCGTGGTACAATATCCGTGGCCGCTGCAGAGTTTGGGACAGGCTTCTCCAATGTACACATGATCGATCGCCCAACTTTGTTTTTCTGGTTCTTCTCCTTTTTGGATCCACCGGAACTGGGTCGCACTAGAAATAAAATTGCCCACGTGTAGACAAAAGAGGTCAGCGTGTCAGGATTCTGGCTGTTACACCCCCCTGGCTTCCACTTCATATACCAATAGAGAGAGCCCTCATCTTAGAACCATTCATTTAATGACGATTAGGCATGGAAAGAAGTAACTTTTGACCATTTTTCACACGACCGTCACACATGATCCAAATTCAGACCCTAGGCAACTGGTTCATATTTATGACGGTTGCAGTCTCCGGGGGATCATGTGATCCCCTTTTTGCAAACTTCTGATGGGCAAATTCAATGGAGAAGCCAGATTCACTAACAACCGGGTTGCTAACTTAATAACTGCAGTCACTTAAAGTTACAATGGCACTGAAAAATGTGACTTTTGACTGTTTTTCACCGTTATGACCTTTGCAAGCATCCCCATGATCACGGGATCAAAATTCAGATGCTTGGCAACTGGTTCATATTTCACAATGTTCGTATTTACGACGGGGAGGATGTGATGCCCCTTTGTGACCTTCTGGCAAGCAGGAAATCCTGGCAATGAGGAAACCAAGATTCACTTAAGAACCGTGCCACTAATTTATCCACTGTAGGGATTCACTTAACAACAGTAGCAAGACAGGTTGTAAAGTGTGCAAAAGTTACTCGACGACTGTCTCGCTCAGGAGCAAATATGTTGGGCTCAACTGAGGTTGCAAGTTGAGGACCAGCTGTTAATTTGTGTTATTTCGGCCCACGATATAGCCAAAATCAATGAATGTTCTGAGGGGGGATATTTTACTGAAGAAGCACGGTGTGCAGGGGTGGGTTCTTACCGGTACTCCCCGGTTTGGGCGAAACCTTAGCTAACCGGTAGCTAATTTTATGGCTGGTTTGGCGAACCAGTAATTCTGATGACTTGAATGGCCCCACCCACCCAGCGCTTTCCCTCCCAGGAGTCTCCACGCAACCCGTTTTGGATCACAGGTAAGTGCATGGCGCACGTGAAGGCTTGAGCAGAGCAAAAAACGGGCCTCCCGGAAGTTCAGGAAGCCCGGAAATGGGCCCGTATCTGGCCTCCAGAGCCTTGGGAGGTTGTTTTCGCTCTCCCAGAGGCTCAAGAAGCCCAGGGAGGGCAAAAATGCTCCCCTCACCATGGTGCAGGAGGCTGACTAGGCCACACTGTTAGGAATATAAGTCACCTAACAGGTATTTGGGTTAGAAATATATAAACCAGGATAAACATTTTAAAACTGTATCTTTAAGAAAATGCAAAACTGTAATTAGGTGTGGTTTCTCAAATGGCCATAAGATGGAGCCAGAAACCTGGTTTGTCTTAGTCTTAGTCTCAGAAGAGAGTGTGAGTCAGTCTCTGTTTCCTTCTGTTGGAAAGTATTGCCGTTCCTCCATTTTTCCTAATTGATATTCCTGGATTTAATGTAAGTCTGATAATGAACTGTTTTTGACACTGGAATTTGTTATTGGATTATCCCTGGATTGAAAAACTGACTGATTTACCTGTGAATGACTTTTGGACTGCTTATCTTGAACTTTGCTTAACGTTTCTGGAAGTAAAAACCTACATTTACTGTACAGTGTATCTGTGTGCTGTATGTGTATTATTCAAACACTACTCTCAAATACGTCTCCCTGTATGCGCTCATTCTCCTAACGGGGAATTACCTCAACACATACACACCATAGCCATGCCCACCCAGCAACCAGGCAGAGAACTCATTGTTAAATTTGTGAAGCCCACCCGTGCTTATGCTGTTGCAACTATTATCACTTCTCAGCTTGCCAACGAAGTAGGGAGGGGAGAGGAAGAGGGAGATGGAATATAGGCTCCAGACATTGATGAGCTTTGAGAGCCAAGGACACTTCAGCAGGTGTTCGCCAAAACCAAAGACTTTTTCTCATAACAATACAATGACATTCTGTTGGACAATGTGACTAGCTAATTTTATGGCCAGTTCAGTGAGTCAGTAATTCCGACGACTGGCTGGCTCCAGCCTCTCCCCTCCCAGTAGTCTCCACATGGCCCATTTTGGATCCCAGGTAAGTGCAGGGCACGCGCAGAGGCTCGGGGAGAGTGAAAAATGGGCCTCCTGGAAGTTCAGGAAGGCAGGAAATGGGTCCATTTCGGGTCTCTGGAGCCTTGGGAGATTGTTTTCATCCTCCCAGAGGCTTGAGGAAAGCCTCCGGAGCTTGGGGAGGGTAATAATGCCCCGCCCACCACGGCCACAGCCACCCAGCAACCAGGCAGAGGTTGTTAAAATTTTTGAAGCCCACCCCTGAAGATGCGGTCACATTTTGGAGAGAAGCCTACCTGGAGGAGACATGATCTGGCAGCTGAATGGTTATCCTCTTCCAAGTGGAGCTGTTGACAGAGTTATAGATGGTCGCTTCATGAAACTGAAATGGGGAGCAGCCAACGCTGTTGGAGGAAGACGGAAGGCACTGCGTCTGGACGAGCTGCCAGGAGTCTAATCTGAAGGGAAGCCAAAGAGGTAAAATTGCTAGGGGTGGAAGGGAGAGAATGCATTGGCCAACAGTGGCCAAAACCCCCTCCCCAACAACCCTGAGTGACTTCTCTACTTTCTCTTTAAGCCTTTTCACCGCATAAGGAAGTTAAAACAGAAGGTTTCTGTTTGTATTTCCCTTCCTTGGATGTCTATGGAGATTCTCAGCCATCCAGGTCATGGTTGTTCCAAAGGTGCTTTATTTACAAGAGATAACTGGACTTTCTGCTATACTCCTTGCAGACAGCTGGTCATTTGCATCCTTTTAGAGAGTCATTGAGGTGACCCTGAAGACACAGATAAACCTCCAAGTGGCCTCAACGACTCACTAAAAAGGATGCAAATGACCAGCTGTCTTCAAGGTATATAATATAAATCCTTCCATTCCCCACCATCCAGTCATAGCTGAAGAAGCTTCTTGGATGAGAAGTGAAACTTCTTCAAAGAAAAACCAGAAAGTCCAATGGCCTCTTGAAAAAGAAAAAAAGCACCTTTGGGACTTCACTAGATAAGTTCATAAGAGATTGGAAGCCCTTTGTGGACTTCCCACCCATCAGATGCAATACAGAGGGTTAACAGAGGATTTTGAAGATTAGTTTTACCTGTTGGGGTTACCTGCTGACTGTTTTTTATATACTGTCTGTCTTCTGACAAGCAAATTCAATAGGGAAGCCAGATTCACCTAACTTAGCAACTGCAGTGATGCACTTAACAATTGTGGCAAGAAAGGTTGAAAAGGGCACAAAACTCACTTAACAACTGTCTCGCTTAGCAGCAGGAAGTTTGGGCTTTCTTAGAGCTTTGGGTAAATTCATAAAACATTCTTATGCCTGTTTCAGTAGTTGCCATAGGGAATGGGGGAAGAGGAGGAAGGAAATCTGGAAGAGCAGTTGAAAGCAAAAGTACATTCCAACTCTTATCTTTAAAAGATTGTAACTAAAATACCAGAGCTTTTGCCAGCAAATATATTTAATTGGAGAACATCATTGATGACACCCAGCCCGTCAACGGGCTCAATTAGAGAATTTGGTTTATGAGACACCAGGGGGTAAGGGGGAAACAGGGTCACAGGGGACTGTAAATTATGTATGCCAGAGTTCGCTTTATACAAGGCAGTGCCAGTATGTTGCCTCTAATGAATCCTTTGAAGCTTTTTGAAGTTTGGCTCAAGAATCATAATTTAAATAGAGCGATTGCTGGAATCCCGACACTTTGTTTGGCTTACTTGATAAAGGTGAGGAGTTTTTACTGATATATCCGTGATGGCGAACCTATGGCACGTGTGCCACAGGTGGCATGCAGAGCCATTTGTACGGGCATGCAAGCCCCAGGCAAACTTACCACACAATGCATGTGCGTGCCTCCCAGCTGATTTTTGGGCCTTTTTCAGCCTCCCAGAGGCTCAAGGGAAGCCTCCACAACCTTTGTGGGCCGAAAAACAGGGCCGTTTAGTCACTTCCTGTATTTCTGGAAATACCGGAAGTGACGAAACAGCCCAATTTTGGGGCCTCCAAAGGCTGCAGAGGCTTCCCTCAAGCCTCTGGGAGGCCAAAAAAGGCCCTAAAATCAGCTGGGAGGCACACGCATGCGCAGTGCAGGTAAGGAGGTGGGGGGAGGATAGTGCGCACATGTGCAGAGGGTGTAGGGGGGCTGTGCGCATTGCCTTCTGGGTGCTGGCACAGGGGCATGTGCGTGCGAGCATTTGCACAATTTTCGACACAGGAGCCAAAAAGGTTAGCCACCACTGGGCTATATTAATGCAGGCCTGCTATATAAGGTATCTCTAGAACTGTTTGTAAATATCAGTGTGTTTATATGTGTGCATGCCTTTTGGATCTTCGGCTGAGAAGCTCCAAGAACTACAGATAGTCCTCAACGTACAACAGTTTGTTTAGTGACCATTCGAAGTTACAACAAAACTGAAAAAAATGACCACTTTTCACTTATGACCATTGTAGCATCCCCGCAGTCATGTGATAAAACTTAAGACTCTCAGAAACATATTTATGACCATTCCAGTGTCTCGGGGTCGTGTGATCTCCTTTTGCGACCTTCTGACAAGCAAAGTCAATGGGGGAAGCCAGATTCACTTAACAACTGGATTACTAATTGAACAACTACAGAGATTTACTTAGCATATGTCGTAAGAAAAGTCGTAAAATGGGGCCAAACTCACTTAATCAATTTCTCACTTAGCAACATACGTTTTGTATGTGGTTGTATCTTGAGGGCTACGTGTATTAGTTAGAGTTGAAAAAATTGAAAAAAAAAACCAAAAAAATCTTGGCAATGACGAAGAAATTTTGCATCTGTTCTGTTACCAAGATAGATAAACAAGATGTCAGCTTTGGAAGCCATATTGAGACCAGATGCTCCCACACTGCCATATTTTGAGCCTGGGAAAATGTGAGGGGGGAATTTCTTGGAGTGTATGTAGTTAGACATAATAACATTCTTTTTCTGAATCAAGGTCATGTTATTCTGCACCTAAGTGAGGAGAAGTTTCAAGTGAGGACGAATGGTGATTGGGGCATGTGATGCGATGATGGGTGCAGGAAATGGATTTGTAGTTTTTATGTACTGCAAGGAAGCCTGGAACTTTCTGATTCAGGATTCCCCAGTTATGCCAGTTTACTATCCAATTAAAACAGAACTTTTGAGAAGATGTCTGACATTAGACATATTTATAAATTCCAATAATAGAACTTGAATTCAGGGAGATTTTACATTCATATCTACAGTTACACTGATATTCACACAAATATTAAATAATTGTAAAATAGGTATTTTGAATCTTCAACTCCATGTTTTCAATCGCAGTCACACATTTTATATTTTACCTAGCATCCTTAGAGTACTCCAGCATTACTGAATGGAGATCACCACAAGATGTTGCTTCACAGCCAACCACAATCTGAAATAATTAAAATGAGACACATTTTCTCTTCAATATTGTCATTCTGTTTGCAACAATTTGTTCTCCTTGTCCATTCTGATTGACCATTGCATATGTTTGTCCCAAAATAGCCAATCCCAAAGATATCCCTAGAAATTCTCTGGTTAATCAAAACTTTAGCAATAGCAGCACATTATATATGATATTTCACTTCTGCTTCGTTTGAATAACAGCATTTTTCTTCTCATAAAGAATAAGATAGTTTGGTTTTCTAGTTACTCATAAGAGTAACTAGAGAGACAACTAGCTCGGTGTAGTGATGAAGCACCAGGCTAGAAACTGGGAGTTTGTGAGTTCTAGTCCTGCCTTAACCATGAAAGGCAGCAGGGTGACTTTGAGCCAATCATCAGGAGACTTTGAGTTCTAGTCCCGCCTTACCCATGAAAGGCAGCAGGGTGACTTTGGGCCAATTATCAGGAGACTTTGAATTCTAGTCCCGCCTTAGCCATCAAAGGCAGCTGGGTGACTTTGGGCCAATCATCAGGAGACTTTGAATTCTAGTCCCACCTTAGCCATGAAAGGCAGCTGGGTGACTTTGGGCCAATCATCAGGAGACTTTGAATTCTAGTCCCGCCTTAGCCATGAAAGGCAGCTGGGTGGCTTTGGGCCAGTCCCTCTCCCTCAGCCCAAGCCACCTCACAGGGTTGTTGTTGTTGTGGGGAAAATAATAAGTGGAAGGAGTATTATGTATGTTTGCCACTTTGAGTTACTTATAAAGTAACAAAGGCAGGCCAAAAATCGAATAAATAAGCCTTAGACACCACTCTTCCAATTGACCTACCATCTATATATTCATCTTAGAATAGAATAACAGAGTTGGAAGGGACCTTGGAGATCTTCTAGTCTAACACCCTGCTTAGGCAGGAAACCCTACACCACCTCAGACAAATGGCTGTCCAATCTCTTCTTAAAAACCTCCACTGTTGGAGCATTCACAACTTCTGGAGGCAAGATGTTCCAATGATTAATTGTTCTGTCAGGAAGTTTCTCCTTAGTTCTAAGTTGCTTCTCCCCTTGATTAGTTTCCACCCATTGCTTCTTGTCCTGCCTTCAGGTGCTTTGGAGAATAGCTGGACTCCCTCTTCTTTGGGGCAGCCCCTGAGATATTGGAACACTGCTATCATGTCACCCCTAGTCCTCCTTTTCACCAAACTAAACTAGATATACCCAATTCCTGCAACGTTCTTCATATGTTTCAGCCTCCAGTCCCCTAATCATCTTCGTTGCTCTTCTCTGAACTCTTTTTAGAATCTCAGCATCTTTTTTACATCGTGGCAACCAAAATTGAATGCAGTATTCCATGTGTGGCCTTACGGAGGCATTATAAAGTGGTATTGCCATAACAACTTCTCTTGATTCTATCCCTCTGATGTTAATTGATACTATTGTTAGATGCACATGTAACTTCCAAAAACTCTAATAAGCAACATACAGTAAATATGGGGTAATAATTTGAACAGTTTCAGGACAAGTCTGATTTAAATCAATGTTTTACTCTGAATGCACAGAAATATCTTCTTACTTTAAACTGGATCATGTATCCAGGTTGTATAATGAGCTCCCGGGAAGACAAGATATTATACGTCTGATCCTTTTTCTTATTTGGCCAATAGAGATGAAAGGAGGGGTTACCGCAGAACCCTGCCGTCCTGACTGCATTTGGGTAGAAACTCCAATTTTCTTCATGGGAGATGCCTTCTGTTCAGATCAAGGAGTGAAAATGAACCAGAAAATTACACTGTGCAGAATACACAGCACAATATATCCTAACCAGAGGTGGTCTTCAGCAGGTTTGGACCAGTTCTGGAGAACCAGCAGTGGAAATTTTGAGTAGTTCGGAGAACCGCCCAATGCCACCTCTGACTGGCCCCGCCCGCATCTATTCTCTGCCTCCCATTGAGTCCCAGCTGATTGGCTGGGTCTTCTTTGGCTGCTCTGTACAGGAGAACGGAGCTGGAAAGCAGGTTAGTGGGGTGGGGAGGGAATTGGGGATTTTGCAGTAACCTTCCCCTGCCACGCCCACCAAGCCATGCCACGCCCACCAAACCACGCCCACAGGGAGTAAATTTTTTTGAAATTCCCAATGTAATCAAACTATAAATAGTTAAGATCATCTTCCCAGTTATCCCATTGTTTGTAAAGATGGAATGTTAATTCAGAGAGTTGGAGATGCTGAAAGGAAAAGAGGAAAAATTTTACTAGAATATTAGAAAAAGATAACAGAGTCTTCTACATTCACCATCCAAATCCTTGTATGAATGTTTAAGTCAATCAGCAGTCTGTGGACGATGAACAGGTAGTCCTTGACTTACAATAATTCACTGAGTGACCGTTCAAAGTTACAACGGCACTGAAAAATGTGACTTATGACCATTTTTCACACTTACGACCCTTGTGGCATCCCCCTGGTCACGTGATCAAAATTCAGATGCTTGGCATATGGCTCGTATTTATGACGGTTGCAGTGGTCTGGGGTCATGTGATCTCCTTTTGCGATCTTCTGACAAGCAAAGCCAATGGGGAAGCAGGATTCGCTTAACAACCATGTCACTAACTTAACAACTGCAGTGATTCACTTAACAATTGTGGCAAGAAAGGTTGTAAAATGGGGCAAAATTCACTGGACAAATATTTCACTTAGCAACACAAATATTGGGCACTATTGTGGTCGTAAGTCGAGGACTACCTGTATATTTTCTGGCACTAAAAAAAGGGTAAAGGCTTTCCCTGCCCAATTCTAGGGGGCGGCGCTCATCCCCATTTATTAGACGAGGGACCCAGCATGGTCAGAAGACACTTCAGTGGCCGGCATGACTATATCGAACGTGGTGTCAGGGCTCCGACAATTTACCCCCATTCGAATCATGAGTCTCTAGGCGTATCTCTCAGAGTTTAAAAAAAAAACATTTATTAGGAGTGAACATGTCAGCATTACCTGGGTGCAGCCAACACTGAAGTGGTTACTTTCCCACCACCAAAGTGGTACCTATTTATCTACTTGCATTTACATACTTTCGAATTGCTAGATAGGCATGAACTGAGGTGAGAACGGGAGCTCACCCCATCTGCACAGCACTCGGGTTTCGAATCTGGGCTGTCCGCTTAGCGTCTTTAACTCCTGAGCCATCACCCACCTTGTAGTAACTTTTTAGGAAAGAAGTTAATTCGCTATTTGATTCTTACCATCATCGAACGTGTCAACCAGTTGACTGGGATTGATTTCTGCTCCGCCAATCAGTATGTTGTCCAGGGCCCACTGAGCACGATCAAACCCCGAAAGAACAATGCCGTTGTTAATCACAAATGGTTGCCACCAGCGTAGGCGGGTTGTGTTGGTGAGAGCTTTTTCTGGGAGCAGAATATAATCGTGCCTGATGGAGATATATTTCTGATAATCCATCTCATGCAGTAACGTCCACGATATTCCTGTATTATGGTGGTTCAAGATAAAGAAAGAATCAAGAAAGGTATGAGGTTCCTTGTGGAGTTCTGAAGAGCTGATTTGTGACGAGGGCTGTATTTTTATAAAATGGGAATAATCCTCTTTCTCCAAGCAATCATTATGAACATAGAATATATGTTCATAGAAAGTAGACATTGCCAGGTAATATATACTTAGAATATATAGAATATATATTATCTTTCAAGAGAAGGAATAATAAAGCATAAGTTTGAACACTGCAGAATTTTATTTCTGCAATCCAAAACATCTGGCTAGGTGTATGAGTTTCAATCAGCCATCACTGGATTATAATGGTATATACTGTATTATGTATCTAAACTTCCTTTGTTTTTCCCCTTTCATTTATGTATGGATAGAACAAAAATCAGAAAAAAGGGGGCTGTTGAAACCTGGAATTTTTGAAATTCTGACAATCAAGAGAAAGGCATTTTAAAAAGCTCTATTGCAAAGTATGGCTTTGTCTATAGCTAATATTCTTTCTTTGTATATTTTCTATTGTTGGGCCAGAGGTAGTCAATTATGGACTCTTTACAACCTGTGGACCTCAACTCCCAGAATTCCCTAGCCAGACATGCTTTCTGGGAGCATAGAAGCCAGGAATTCTGGGAGTTGAAGCCCACAGATCGTAAAGGGGCCATAGTTATCCACCCCTATGTTAGGCTAATAGAAATATCTGTTTGTTGTGGTTCGCTGGCAGCAGGTGCAGACAGCTGAGGTCTTGGAGAGCGAAGACTCAGATGAGGGGCCTGCGTGTGATGCAGGGATGGGGCCAGGACCACCAGGGAGTGGAGTGCTGCCTTCGGAGATTGTGGAGGCTGGCAGCACTAATAAGGAGGTCCCCGAGGAGCCTGTGCCAGGTGTGTGTGCACGCAGGGCTACTCGTAGGAAAGAGCAGCTGCAGCAGCACGGGCAACTTGGGAGTAAGGCTGCAAGGTAATGGCCCCTCCCTTCAGAGATAAAAGCCAGCTGAGAAACCGGAATTCTTTTCAGGAAGCAAAGAAGTTCTTGCACTTCAAGCCTTGTGGAAGTTCAGACTATCTTGGCTTGTGTTTGAAGATTTTTTGTTTGGAATATTTCTTGGCAACTTAATCTAGTGCTTTTGGCAGCCTTGCACAACCTTGGCAAGGCTCATTCTTATCAGAGACAATTAAGTTTTAATAGCCTTTTAACCGTGAATTAACAGAATTCACAGAGAAGCATCAAAAGGTTTTGCTTTTATCTCTGTTTGGTGTTTGTTTACCTGGAACAAGGTTTGGGTCAGAACACTATTAGAACACTATTATAAATCACTTGCCTCCATCTGTTGAGTAATCCAGTAGAACTCCTTCCTTTCGACATGTTGGTCTATGACAAGTGGTCATGTTGTTTTCACTCCCTATTCTTCCCCAGTATTGTAGAAACCTGGATAAAAAAAAAATGCATCACTAAGTATATATTTTAATAACATGCTGAAAGAAGCTGCATGTGTGTTTAGTCCTGGATACCTTCCTTTCTCAAGGTTCTTCTGAGGGAATTATGGAGCTCAACCTGAGACTTCGTGGTTTACTTAAATATATTAAAACTCCTAATTTGATTTTTAGATGCTGATAACATCACTGTGGGAAAAGTGAATTTCAGAAACAAGATGTTTGGTTAGAGTTGGACTAGATGAATACAAAAGCTGTTTATATGGAGTGTTTTCCAAACCTTCCTTCTACATCTTACTCCTTTTCCTGTATTTTTGTTGTGGCCTGTTGGCCATCGGCCTCTCCGGCAGCCAAATCAGAGGAATCAGGGTCAATATTAGGGCAACCTGAGGGGGAAGAGGGAATTGGAGCCATCAGAGAGAGAGAAAGAGAGAGAGAGACAGAGGCAGAGCCTGGGCTGTCCATCAGCCCTCAGATGGACAGTCAACAGCCCCCAGGTCTGGAAGTGTCTAATGAGGAAGAGGAGGAACAGCTGGGTCCAGTGCCTGACACATAGGTGCACAGAAGGCAGAGGAGAGGAGAGCAGTGGAAATCTATGGGACGATCCTCGGGATGGAAGAGCCACCACTGCTAGCGAAGTCCAACCCTGGCTCTAGGGATAAAAGACAGGGGGCAGAGATGAATAGAGGTGGCAGACAAGTATTCATCTTTCTGCCAGACAGACTTGTTAGCCTGCTGTGAGTGAGATATTTGTTTTGCCGGGACTGCTGGCGCTTCTGATAAAGGAATCATTGCTTCGACTACAGGGGGTTTGTCATGTTTGAGGAGCTGGGTCAAAATAATTTTCTGGTCTAAAACCATTCATGGATTTAATAAATTAAAGGCTACTCCTTTCAACAGAGAGAGTTTAAAAAGACTATAGATCCATGATGGCGAACCTATGGCATGCAGAGCCATTTGTGCCAGTACGGGAGCTGCAGGCAAACTTACCTCACTTTGCATCGCGCACGCCTCACAGCTGATTTTTGGTTGGTTTGAGGCCTTTTTCGGCCTCCCAGAGGCTTGAGGAAGGCTTCTGCAGGCTTCTGCTGGCTTTTCAGGCCAAAAACTAGGCCCATTTCATCACTTCCTGTTTTTCTGGAAATACCGGAAGTGATGAAATGGGCCTAGTTTTCATCCTGAAAAGCCTGCAGAAACCTTCCTAAAGCCTCTGGGAGGTCAAAAAAGGCCTCAAACTGGCTGAAAATCAGCTGTGAGGTACAGTGCAGGTAAGGGGGCAGTGGGTGGGGATGGCTGGGGGGTGGGGATTGCACACGCATGCATAGGCGGCATGGGGGGATCGCACATTGCCTTCTGGGTGCTGGCACACAAGCATGAGCGTGCAAGTGCGCACACAATTTTTGGCACAGGAGCCCCAAAAGGTTAGCCACCACTGCTATAGACTGTAGGGCTGCAGTGAGCAACCTTAAACAAGATGATTTATATATTGGTTCAGCTTTGGAACAGTGGATAATTTATTAAATTATTGATAACTTTTCACAAGGTTTGCTGACGGATGTGGTCAGCTGGGGAAATAAGTCCTTCCTTTCCTGAGTTGAAGTTTTAAGGATGTAGGTTTTATGCCCCGTCCTGTCAGCCTTCTGGACTTGCATCATGGTTATTGTTCATCGCTAACTGTCATTGAAATGGATGAGTTACGTTCACCTCTATTAGGTAAGCTGACCTACTTTGCGCCCCGCAGGTCCAGGTCTTGGGTCACCGCCTGCCTCACAGTTGGTCCTCCAAAATATAGAGCCGTGTCCTCGGCCAGAACCCCACATTCCAGACAGGCCAACCCGCCTTCCAGGGACATCCATAAATCAGGGCGAATTTCTTCATTGTCAAAACGCTCCTTCAAGAAGGTCTGGTGAGGGGTTGCAAGATATAAAAATAGGCTGATGTGCTGTTTTCTTCTTAAAATGCTTGGAAAAATATAATTCCTTCTCTTCCTCCCTCCTTCTCCTTTTCTCCCCTTCCCTTCCCCTTCCCTCTTCCCTTCCCATTCGCTTCCCTCCTCCTTCCATCTTTCCTTCCCGTTCACTTCCCCTCCCCCTTCCCTTCCTCTTCCTTTCCCCTTCCCGTCCCTCCCTCTTTCCTTTCCTTCCCATTCCCTTCCCTTCCCATTCCCCTTCCCTTCCCCCTCCATTTTCACTTCCCTTCCCATTCCCTTCCCTTTCCCTCTTCCCTACCCATTCCCTTCCCTTCTCTTGTCCCCATTATATACCAGAATTATTTGACATCGGAAATAGATTTTGGAAAAATAAACTTATATTTTCAGCAGAAATGTAATCCAAATACATATTAAAAGGTAAAAGTTTCTCCTATCCAGTCATGTCTGACTCTAGGGACCAGTGTTCATCTCCACTTCTTGGTCAAGGGAGCCAGCATTGTCTGGAGACAATTTCCATGGTCATGTGGCCAGCATGATTATATGCCGAGGTGCATGGAACACTTTTAACATTCTCACCAAAGTGGTACCTATTTATCTACTCGTATTTGCATGCTTTCAAACTGCTAGGTAAACAGGAACTCGGGCAAGTAATGGGAACTCATTACGTCTGCACAGCACTTGGGTCTTGAACCCGGACCGTCAGGTTTCCAGCTGACAAGCTCAGTGTTTTTAACTGCTGAGCCACCATACCTCTAAATACATATTAGTCAGACAAAAAAACAAGAATAACAGGTGGCAATTCTTCAAAAGTTTCTTATTGTTTCACACCTATAGACAGAATCTTGCCAGACTCTACTACTGGCATCTGCAACATACTCCGTACTATTAGG